ATTTAATTTGGAAGGGAGCTACAACGATCGTCTAGTCCAGTCGTTACGAACATATACGGAGATTGTAAGCACAGTAAAATTAAATGTTGTAATTTAGTGTTTAGTGAAACAAAACCAGGCAGTGCAATCCATACTGGTTTCGGTGCAGTGTTCAGCATCCTCGATGCCTGCAGGTAATACTTGTTTTTGGCATTCCGTAGGTGTTTGTGACTCTCAGGTTGTGTGGATGGGGCAGACTGTGGTTTATGGGTGTCACCGGTAAATTAATATCGGTGCTGATGCAGACGTCCGAATAAAGGGAAACGATTTTGGTTTACCGCATTCTCAAAAGAGGTAGAGAATTTCTTGCTTTTTCCAGTTAATTTATATAAAAGATAAATTAAGTGGCATTCTCGCTTTGTGCACTTACAGAGTTTGGTAATGACAAACCTTAGAGCCGGTACTTTTGGGTGATCTAAATACGAGTTAAATTTTGGTCAAACACTAACATGTGATTTTGTTTAAGGTATATAGCTGTGGGGTTTGGGTGAGTCACTGCCGTGAGTGGGAGGGTGATGCGGGCTCTTTCAGTCTAGCTTTGTGTGTGTGTGTGTGTGTGTCTCTGCACCGCGTCGACACTTCGGATGGGTGCGCGTTGTGGGGCTGGGAGCGAAGGTAAAGACCCTGTAATAGCCCTTTGGGAAATCCCATTTTACCGGAATGCGGAACACGAAAAGTTTTTGCCTGTATCAGGTATGACGGTGTGTTGGTCTGAAACCAGCAAAGGTTATGAGCGTGTTTGTGTCCGCAGTGCATACCTGACGGGTTTTGTAGTCGGTTGAGTTATAAGATGCTGAGCCACGTGTGGCTCTGGATACGGCGGTGGAATAAATTTCTCATATGTGTGGGACTGTGACCGTTAAAACAATCATTACTGAAACCATATACCTTATTTCCTGTAACTAATAGCAGCTCTCTACCTATGAAATATATTAACAATTATTCCTTTGGGTTTGGATTGTTGCTCAACTATTTTGTTGGACAGATATTTAAACATGATCTGTAATTTATGTTGTCTGAATACGTCAATGAGCGGAGCTAATTATGGCTTTCTGATGCGAGCTATGCTGATGTTTGTGAAACCACACTTCTGTTTATAAGACAGAGTGAAAGTATGTTCTTTAATAAATCATGGAAAAGGATGAATTTTCTCTACCTAGCTTGGTTAACAGAGATACTTTAGTTGCTGTTCACCTAGAGTTTAAAAAGAAGCAATGGTTTCTGTGGCTAGTTAAACAGTTAATTCTTCCGTGCCATTAAAGTAAAAATTTATTTGTTACTCTGTACGGTACTCAGAATTTCTTGTAAAGGAGAATTATTGGGTCAAACAGCAGTGGCCCATTTAGGGACTCCATCGCTTGCCATTTTTCTGCAGCGTGCTCACCGGGTGGTAGAGCTGAAGCGAATGGCCAAAGTCCTGGATGAATGTCGCCGTGAGACAGCACCTAATTACCTACCTAAATTTCTCAGGACTTTAATATACCTCTGTAGTAGTCGTGTCATTTTTGACACCGTCACCACTCGGGAGGATTTTCTTATTTCAGATAGTTTCTTATTAATACATATCCTGGAGAACGTGCTGCTATGTTCGGTACAGGCGGAGTGACGGATTTTCCAAGCGAAGGGTGCTGGAGCCCCGCGGATGGGGCTGAGCTGTTGGAGGAACACCCAGGATTGCTGGCTCCGGAGAGGAAACGCTGTAATGAGAAAGGGGAAGCAGTTCTGTTTTTCTAATATTTGTTGTTTTCTTTGAAATGGGGGAAAAGAATACCTGGAGTGATTTATATTTAATTGAGGATTGCATTCCATCAGATACGGTGAGTGTTCTCGGGCCATTTATCAGCCGTGTCTTTTCGAGACCTCTGAGGAGTGTATGGTACATATTTACCTTAACTTGCCTCGGTCAAGGGAAATAAAGCAAAAATAATAGATGTTATTTTTGTATGTGAGCAAAACTGGAAGTCATGTGGATGAAATATGAGGTAAATGACTGTGTCCGACCTCCTCTGTGCCTTTTTAAATACAAGGAATTATTAGTTATATATAATACAATTTCCTTTGCATTATCAGTGTATCTTTTTAAAACGGAAGATTTATTTTTTCATTGCTTCGGTTTAGTCAATCCCTGAAGTCAACATGACATATATTGTGCTGCCATTATTCTTTAGTAGTTTCATAGTTAAGTAGCATCTTGTAAAAACACCAAAACATGCCATATACTGCTCTTTATATAACATTTTTCCTAAATTGAGTTTGATGTATATTGCTGGTAATGTATACAGATCATGCGACACTAGAATCCTACAAGTGCTAGTGAGAATTTTAGTAAGCAGCACCTAAATTTTTGGGGAGTTTTGCAAGAAGGGCTTTTTGAGCTTCAGATCGTCTTCTGAAGAATGTGTCATCGCTGGTTGTCACCTGCGGCGCTGCTGCCGTGGGGTCTGCGAGTGTTATTAGGAAGAATTGGGCAGTGGGAACCATCTAACACCCACTCCACGATGCACCCACGATTTCAACCCCATTTCCCGACGTAAATAGCCCAAAGGAGTTCATTAAATGGCAATATTTGCGTAATATTTGCACAACACGTTTTTATTGATAGATCTAAAGGTAGGATAAAGGCAGAAGGACCTAAATGTCAGGGTCTTTAAGCAAGAAGGAAACCTGAGAACTGAAAAAGTCTCTCGCCGTCAGCACGTACAGTCATTCTCTGTCCCCGTAAGGGACACACAGTGAAAACTGTTGCAAAATAAAACCAGAAAGCACATTGTCGATTCAGCTAAACCCCGCGATAAAACCGGTTTCAGAACGAGTCTGATGAAGTGCAATTTGATCAGATATTTCATGAACGGATTACTTGATTACTGATACCGCTAATGATTTGTAAATTAACTGTAACTCATTCTCCCTGAGTGACTGACTCAGTGGCATTTACCAACTTTTCACGTACCCTGTTTTTTGGGGGGGGGCTGAATTTGCAAAACGCTTCCCTTTGAGTTAAATTTTCGGCGACATCTGATGACAAGCGTAGCATGATTAATTACAAATTGTTCTTTAGGTGAATAGTGCAGATTCTAAAACACAGCTTGTGTTTTTATAGCAGTTATTACCCTGCAGGCTCCAAAAGGGCTTTGGAGTACAGAGTATGATTTCGGTTACATCATTGTAAATTCAGAAAACGTCAGTGATCTCAAAAGTGTGATTTTTTTTTTTTTTTTTTGAAATTAGGTCAGTGGAAAAGAGATCAGAATCTGCTTCGCTACCTGAAAAGAAGCAAGTTCCAAAATGGGAGTGAAGTTTCTGCTTCCAGCAGCCCTTCATTTTTCTTTTGAAAGGAACATATTTGTCCAAAAAAATATTTTATTTGAAACAGTATGGGCGAGTGAATAATAGAGCAAATGATAACCTAAATCCAGGCTGGATTACAGCAAGAAAATGAGAGCGCTCAATACTTTTTCTCTTGTTGATAGATCTGTAATGTCCCGGGAGATGGACGTGGCCGATTCAGCTTGCACCATGATGGGCCAATGACTCAAAACTCTCTTATATTTTGTCTCCCACTTAAATTTATTCAGCGTTTGGATTTTTGTTGCTGGCTAGGTGATCTTTTGATAGCTACAATGCACTTCTAAGGGGTTCTTTTTTGTTTGTTTCTTTTCTACCCGGTGATTACAGAATACATAATTTTTTTAACCTGAACTTGAATTTAACTCAATTTCAAAGTTGAGGTGATGCTTGAGATTTTCTGGAGAGTGTGTCGTTCTCTGGTGAATTCTCACTTCTTGTCACCAGAGGCTTTGAGAAGATAAGGATTACAGTCTGAAACCACTAGAAATTACAGCTCAGGAAGTGGATGTACGGTTTTGCGATACACAGCATCAAACGTGCAGCCCGAGCAAATAAGTCTTAATGGCGAGTCCTTCCTTGTTAGGGTATGTTGAGAAGGAAACCATCAGAGAGGCAGTCATGGATGGTGAACACCTTTCAGTTTTTTGGTTTTTTTTTTTTTTTGTTTTCAACTTTTGTATGTGATGGTTTTGCTCGAAGCATCTGAAAAGCAGCTTTTTCAGTACCCCCGGGGCTGTGACTCATGAAAGAGATGAGCAATAGTCACAGGGTTTTCGTCTTTCCCTTCAGTTTGGGCAACACGTTTTGCATCCTGTTTGTGAGCAGCTCTGTGGCTTCTCAGCTCAGAGCTTCCTTAAGCCTGCGGTACTGTTCTCTTCCAGCCAGTTCAGAGGACTCAGGAAAAAAAAAAAAAAACACAAACAACCCCAAAATGGTTTTACATCTCCTGTAGGGTCCGAGCGTGTCGCTCGGGTGGTGATCGCAGCTCCCAGGGATGCAGGAGAGAGTCCCGGGGGGATGCTCAGGCTGCGTCTCCCCAGGCTGATCTCTGGCTTTAAGTCACTTACCCAAATTATTAGCAACTATTATCACCCAAGTTATTAGCAACTGTTAGAGCTGAAGTGTGTTTGACTTGTTCTTTAGTTTTACCTACCACCAGGAAAAGGGGGGAAACCTGTGTAAAAATGAATAAACTACATCTTAACCTATGGAGGAGTTGTGTGTATGTATTTAAGACTGAGTGTGTAAACTAAAGCTGCTTTTGAATATCTGATTGAAAACAAAACAATAAATTCAAAACAGAGTATTTTTTTATGCCCTGCACATTTTGTTTCATTTAAAATTTACAAACGGTATCTTTTAATGGTTGAAACTAATAGGTGTGATAATTTTGTCATCATAATTGCTAAGTAGCCCTTTCTGAAGGAAACTCATTAATATAATATGAAGGATTAATTTCATGGGAGAAATGAAAACACTGTGAGGCCTTGCAATATGTTTCTGCTTTTTCCAATACCCTTTCCTTAAGTAAAATAAACCAAGGTGTATTTCTGAAGTAAAACACTTCTCTGTTGTCATTTTCAGAAGCCAGACGTTTCTGAAGTACTTGGGAAATGAGTGTTCTTCTCATTGAAGCCTTTTATGGTGGTTCCCACAAACAGCTAATGGATCTTCTCCAGGAAGAGCTGCAAGAAGACTGTGTCCTCTGTACGCTCCCTGCCAAGAAGTGGCACTGGAAAGCACGGACTGCTGCCCTTTATTTCATGCAAACAGTGCCAACAAGTGCTAATTACAGGTAACACAGGGATTGAATGGTTTTAATTAAAGAGAGGCCTTCAACCCGGTCTCTTGAGCTGAATCTTTGGTTATGTGCGTGCAAGTGTATATGTGTGAGCAAATGGAGACTTGCAATGGACTATGTGGTTAGTTTAGTGTTTCTTCTTAAGGTTTTTCTTCTTGCAGTGAGTTCTTGGGATGATTGGGAAATTCCGGCCGTGTTTTTGAGTTTCCTAGACTATTTTGTCCTGCGTCGCTAGTCCTTCAGAGTCTCTGAGAGTGCAAGTCTGTGGATACCTGTTTGTGTATACGTACATCTTAATTTTAAAATTATCAAGTGAATTTGGTAATACTGAAGGGTTTAAACTGTGCTCCGCAGGTTGGGTTGAAAGATGGCAGAGATGTGAACACTGCAAGCTTCCTCACTTGCCCTCCGCTGTGTCTATTAGCAAGTCTGATTTATCAGAATGTACTACTCAGGCTGACCTGGAGGATTAAAGGAGCGGCTTTATCTTAATGACGGCCCGGTTCTGTAATGTGTCAGCGACTGTGGATGTCAATTATGCATTTATGTAAGCGGCAAATTTCTAGCAGCTAGAACCCGGGCTGATAAAACCAGACTATTTAGGTCAACAGATAGCTATCGTGTAGTGAGAATCAGTCACTCCAGACCCAAGCTGTCTCGAAACCCGGCGATGTTGCTTGCTCTACCTGATGGGTCGAGATGCGGTGAGGTGATTGTATGGAGCGGTGCCGTACGGCGTGGGG